AATTTTAACTAATTATATGTATTAAAATATGAAATATATAGAAACATCAGTTGGAATATATGCAATTATGGCACGAACACGATAACCGGGGCCCCTTGATTTGACTGTGGTTTCTGGTAGTATTTTTTACGTTGAACAAAAAATTATATAGGTCTTATAGGGCTAACTGCTTTAGTTTTCGAGATATGCAGTATTAAAGCTGCGTGAACTATTTCGGGACTACCGCACCTCCCCCGAAAGCACGGGGAGGTGTGCGTGAACCTCGGTTCGCGTGGAAAGTGTATGCGTGAACAATTTCGGGACTACCGCACTTCCCCCGAAAGCACGGGGGGAGTGTGCGTGAACCTCGGTTCGCGTGGAAAGTATATGCGTGAACTATTTCGGGACTATCGCACCCCCCCCCAAAGCACGGGGGGGGGGGTGTGCGTGAACCTCGGCTCGCGTGGAAAGTATATGCGTGAACTATTTCGGGACTACCGCACCTCCCCCGAAAGCACGGGGGGGAGTGTGCGTGAACCTCGGTTTGCGTGGAAAGTGTATGCGTAAACTATTTCGGGACTACCGCACCTCCCCCGAAAGCACGGGGGGGGGTGTGCGTGAACCTCGGTTCGCGTGGAAAGTATATGCGTGAACAATTTCGACATATATATTAGTTATTATGTTTTCCAATACTCAAAATAGCTGCTATATTTTCAAAACTTTTTTTTGTTAATAACTTTTTAATAAATAACGAGCGACGGCTAAAACCTTCTGAAGGTCACTCGGGGTCGTGACTTTGACAACATATATCAAGGTCATTGAAATCGGTGAGGTCGCCCTTAATCTAAACATTTACCAAGTTATATTTATTTTGAACTTTAATACTGCATATCTCGAAAACTAAAGCAGTTAGCCCTATAAGATCTATATAATTTTTTGTTCAGCGTAAAAAATACTACCAGAAACCACAGTTAAATCAAGGGGCCCCGGTTATCGTGTTCTCCCCAATCGATGTAATCGCGTACTTTCTTTTCGTCGCTCATCTTCTTCTTTCTCTCTCTCTACCTGTGAAAGAGGAACTGGGAAATGAGGATGTCACAATATGTTTTCGGGTAAAAGGTTCTTTAATGTTTTTCATGATATCAAGAAATTACCTTTACTCGTTTCATTGAACTCAACGTTTTCCGTCTTATGATTACGCCGCCCTGCTATCATTGAATCGGTCTAAACCGTGAAACTATTTTTCTTTGATTTCGCACGCCGCGTATCGGTCGTCGCTCGCGCATTAGCCCCGTAATCATAGATTTTGAATCTTTTCCTATAATCTTATTCTATTTTATATTTGTCTTAACACTATGAATATAGTCCACTAATATACTTATAGTCCGCTAATATACTTATAGTCCACTATTATACTTTCTGGTTAATATATTTGTATCTTTTTATAAAAGGCTATTTACATTTGTTTTGTCTTTTGTCGGGTTTTACAAGTTTCGCGCACTATAGTCGCTCTGCGACCGTCTCCGCGTCTCTCAATGCCGCGCCGCAAGCACCATTCGCGTGCGCGCCTTCTCCGTCTCGTCCAAACTGCCCCTTCGATCTTCCCTGATGACATCCTTGGGCTGTTTCGAGTCCTTTCGCACCTTCTGCTTCTTCAACATTGGCGGTGCGATCACTCGGTAATCGGTGATTGTCGGCAATTGTCTGCTGCAGCTGCTCGTGCTCGGGTGCAGCCGTCGGCTGCAGCATCAACTATATCCTATGGAAATAAACGAAAAAACGAAAAAAACGAAAAAAAATTATTATAAATATGAACATTTTATAACTTTTTTTTTGTATTAGTCTTTTGAAAAAGCAACAAACCTCAGGCTGTTCTCCAAGACCTACTTCCTTTACTGGTAAACCCACAGATGATTCCCCTCCAATAATTGATAATATTTTTAAATCAGAATCTTTAAGCTCAACTAGTTCCCCAATATTTCCAGTAAGTTGTCTTTGTGTTTTACCCTTTGCTGCCCGCGCTCTAGCTTGGTTTCTTTGATCACACCAAAGCTATAACATGTAATATAAAAGTAATAATACAAGAAAATATTATATGCAAACTGGATAAGAGCTAGAGACGCCGAGTTACATAAACGGATCGTCCAGGCGGGCGGCGGAGCGGCGGCGTCGATAGCCGCTAAAAATTACATGTACTACTGGAAGAAGGGCAAATCGCTGCCTGAAAATTGGCACCGACGATACAAAAAGTACGCGTCCGATGACGATTTTACAACAAATTTGGACACAAAATACTGGGAGCCATTGGCAGGAGACCGGGTTACCCCAACGATCAGTGGGAACGAGGGTATGCGCATGTGGGTGTGCGTGCGTGCGTGAATGAGTGAGTGAGTGAGTGAGCGAGTGAGTGAATGAGCGAGTGAATGAATGAGTGAGTGAGTGAGTGAGTGAGTGAGTGAATGAGCGAGTGAATGAATGAGTGAGTGAGTGAGTGAATGAGTGAGTGAGTGAGTGAGTGAGTGAGTGAGTGAGTAAGTGAGTGAGTGAGTGAGTGAGTGCGTAAATGTCAATCACTTCTTCTCTTTTCAGCAATTACCCGTACAAACCATTCTACGCGACATGGTCGTCGTCGTCGTTGTCGTCGTCATCGTCGGAGGAGGAGGAGGAGCATAAGCAGGAAGAGAAAGAGAAGAAGGAGGAGAAGGAAAAGGAAGAAGAGGAGGAGGAGGACCCCGACGATCCGAAGCCGGGGCCGAGCAGCGCAAAGATACGTAGGTAAGTATTTCGAGTATATATACTAAGCGTGCGTGTGTATGTGTGTGTGCGTGCGTCATTAATTTTTGTTTCTTTTCAACACCGTACGCGAAAAAAAACCGTCGGCCTCCTCGTCCTCGTCCAAGGAGGAAATTGCGGACCCGAATAATCCACAACCGGGAACGAGCCGTGGCGGAAAGAAGCATCGTCGTTGGTAATTTCGAAAAACACCTATAAGACCACCTTCCCTATGTTGTTCCCAAGTTTTGTTTCGTTGAGCGCGCACTATTAATATATCGTCTCCTCTATTTCAGATCAGACTGCGCTCTAAACTAAAAAGGCCGGAAAGCGGAAAGCCATGCATGTCACAGATTTTTGTAACCCTATTTGAAATAAAAAGCTCAGATATAAATGTCGTCTCCTTCCTTTCCCCTTTCCTTTCACATTAGCCCCCAACTACGAGCAAATTAGATCCAAATAGTCTTAATCGATAGATTTTTGTTTGCACATTTCGAAACAGGTCGATTTTTCGTTTGCACACCCTTGGTTAAAAAGTTATTAACAATTAAAGTTTCAAAAACGGTCAAAGTAAGTAGATAAGTTCAAAACACGAATACTGTATTTAAAATGGCATTAATCGATAGATTTTTGTTTGCACAATCACAAACAGGTCGACTTTTTATTTGCACACCTTTGGTTAAAAAGTTTCAACAATTAAAGTTTCGAAAACGGTCAATGTCAGTAGATAAGTTCGAAACACGAATACTGTGTTTAAAATGGCATTAATCGATAGATTTTCGTTTGCACATTTCGAAACAGGTCGATTTTTCGTTTGCACACCCTTGGTTAAAAAGTTATTAACAATTAAAGTTTCGAAAACGGTCAATGTCAGTAGATAAGTTCGAAACACGGATACTGTGTTTAAAATGGCATTAATCGATAAATTTTCGTTTGCACATTTCGAAACAGGACGATTTTTTGTTTGCACACTTTTGGTTAAAAAGTTATTAACAATTAAAGTTTCGAAAACGGTCAATGTCAGTAGATAAGTTCGAAACACGAATACTGTGTTTAAAATGGCATTAATCGATAGATTTTCGTTTGCACATTTCGAAACAGGTCGATTTTTCGTTTGCACACCCTTGGTTAAAAAGTTATTAACAATTAAAGTTTCGAAAACGGTTGATGTCAGTAGATAAGTTCGAAACACGAATACTGTGTTTAAAATGGCATTAATGGTGCGTTCCCACTGTACGCGTCGCGCGTCGCGTCACGACGCCGCGTCATGAGTTATCCAATCAAAACGTTTCATTTTATGATGTCATTTCCGACGCGAGATCTTGCACGACGCGACGTCTGTTTGCTAGACTTTTGGTTACGTTGTGGCATTCACCAAAGTACGAAATTTCCCAATCTCACGATGTCTCAGCGGTACACGGATAATGAAGCGTCATTTGTAAGTTCAAAATTTATTTATTTATTTACATGATAATGATTATACAATTTTAATATTATTATTCAAATAATATTTGTAATAAATTATTACAGATATACGGTTGCCTAACCTAACAATTCACTTCATTATAGTTGTTACAATACTTTTCATTTGCAACGCCATGTACGGTGCATGACACTTGGCAGATTATTTATTCACAATCTAGAGAGATTAATAATAAATGACATTGTACTGAAAGTATAATCAAATGCCTTATATAAATATAACCATACAATGATACGCTTAGGACACAAAGAATGTATTACACAAAAGAACTTTTGTTCGAGAAATTTATTTTTGGTCTATTTTCTTTATATACAGGTTTATGAACCAATCAATTTTTTTATGCATATGTTTATGCGTTATGCATAAGAAAACTGATTGGTCCATAAACTTGTGCATAAGGAAAATAGACCAATCCATTCTCTTATGCATATGCTTATGCACTTATGCAAGTTTATCTGGATTCCCCGTTACAATGTTAACATCATGCTATGTATATTCACGCGATAGATACAAATATATAAATAGACTTTGCGTTCACTATCCGTTCACCTGTTACAGATTTGCGACAACTGTGATACAGTCATAGAAGGCAGTGCAGCTGCCCAACAGCATTATAGTGTACGTACACTAAACGCGGGAGACAGTGAAGGAGAAAATTTACATTACTCAAGCCAAGCTGCAGATAGTCGAGAACTTCTCATTGGAGAAGTTTTTTGCCGAGAGCCGTTATGGAACACATCACTTCCGTATGCCAGAAGGGGTTTTAAAGTAACTTCAGAATTGTGGCAAGAAGTCGATATAGCTTTAGGTAAGTAAAATTCAGCTCTTTACGCAGTAGATGTACATAAATATCACTTCTTAATCATGTCTGAAGAAATTGATTTCACACTTTCGGCAAATAGAATAGGGGTTGGTTATACATATATACTATCAGTGAATATCGTAATATCATTTTCAGGTGTGCAGACTGGGTGGAGTCAGAAAACATTCAAATCCTTAAGAGATTGTTTCGTAAAATTACTCACAAAGGAAACAAATTCAAAACGCAGTGGCAGTGCCACAATGAACAAAACCAATTGGAAATATTTTACGCAGTTGGAATTCCTCCGTCCCAGTGTAGAATATAGATCGTAAGTCCCTTAATTACCGCGTATACAATCATAGAAAAAGGTACAATTGTAATTTGTACATTGCTTTTTCGTAATTTTCTTTACTTCACAAAGACCTCGATGTAAAAAATAAATCTGGAAAAATTACAATGTTTGGCTTGTATAATATTTAGCACAATAAGCGATATTTAAATTTAAACGTACACTACTTTGTTGTCAATTATTCAGTGACAATTGTCATAAACAATTACTAGTAATTTCTTAAATTATGAGATAAAAAATTTTCAAAGTTTTCTTTGTTGGTTCTTGCTATGATAAATAGCAATCGTAAGTTAAATACATTCAAATTATTACATTTGATTTCCAATATTATACATTTTGTGAAAAAGTAATCACATTTTTAAGAAACATATATGTATATTAAAAACATTCAAATTTCTGACGTTCGATAGCAGTTTTAATGAATTACATTGTCAGATTTGAAAAAATTATATTTTTTTAAATTATGCTATTTTTTTTTTAAAGAAAGTATAGTGTCTGAGAGTTATCTATGTGCTATCTTATATCAAAAACTTATCTTTCTAGATTATTAGTAACGTTTAAATATTTACACAACTTTAACTAACTTCTTGAAAAATATTTCCTAAGAGAAAGCAAAATAAATGAAGAATGTACGTACACTATGTATATTTTCAATTATAGGACCATAAGCAGCCTCTCGAAAAATAAACGTCCCAATGCTGAAGTAGAAGCATCGGAGGCAAGCTGTTCTTCCAAAGAAAAAAGACTTAAGAGTCCCCAACATACCAAACCTTTGTCAGAGCAATTTGAAAATTTCTGTAAGAAACAAATGGATCCAATTATACCCGATAAAATTGGGTCTTTTCTTCTTTATTTAGAAAATGAAATGAGAGCACTCCCAAAACAAGCTGCGACAAAGTTGATACGAAGAATAACGATGTCTCTGATAGATGCTCAGGATGAGTTA